AAAATTGGTCAAGACTCATCTTGAGTAAAGAGAGACTAGATCAGGGAGGAGGATTTCTCCAAACGGGGCAAGAATGACATCTGCTGGGCAAGGGGAAAACTCACAGATGAGCAACCTGAGAGCCAAGTTGGCACAGCACCGCCCCCTAGTGGACACAAGAGATGTGTCCCTCCTCTACCCAAGCCACATCCTCAGAATTCCAGATCATGACCAAGATTCCCTACATTGCATTTTAACCTCACTTTGCATTTTATACTTCCTAACTGTACTGATGGGGCAGAACAAAGTTGAGTTATTCTGTGGAATATCATAAAGTGAATGAGCTGCAGTAGAAGGAATGGGAGTGGTATCCGCACTGAATTTATTTATTTACTTATTTCATTAGTGAAATACCATGAGGTACAGCTGTAGGGTAACAAACTTTTATGCTTGCGTTTTATTTATATAATTATTGAGTATCCATCCCTCTACCAGTGCCCATTCTTCACCATCAATGATCCCAGTGCCCTCCCCCCCACCCTACCCCTCTTCTGTGGCAGGGCATTACCTTTTATTCACTCTTTCATTTACGGTGATGTAATTTGCTATAGAGGTATTGAGTAGCCATCGTATTCGGTCAAGAAGAGCTTTCCACACTAGCATTGTTACTTTCAGTACGCATCTTGCATCCTGAGCAAGTCCTCCAAACATCCTTTACTTGGTGTTCCCTACTCTATCTGCGATACCTTTTCCCCAGCATGTGCTGCCGTTTTCCAAGCCATGGAGCAGACCTCCTAATACTTATCTCAACTATTCTTGGGTGTTTGAGTCCTATTGTGTTACTTTATATTCCCCAGATGAGTGCAGTCTTTCTATGTCTGTCCCTCTCTTTCTGGCTCATTACACTTAGCATGATAATTTCCATGCACTACCACTTGTATATAAATTTCATGACTTCATCTTTTCTAACAGCTGCATAGTACTCCATTGTGCAGATGTACCAAAGTTTCCTTAACCAGTCATTTCTTCTCGGTCACTAGGGTTTCTTCCAAATTTTGGCTATTGTGAGCAGTGCAGCAATGAATCTGCACTGAATTTAACTCCAAGGTAGGCTTTGGGAGAGAAGAGCTTTCCACACTAGCAGATACAAAGAGTGTGTGCACAGTACTTACGATCTATAATGCACCAAGGAACATTATGAACACTTAGTGATACATAGCATATACATTTTATTGTCATTTATGGTGGATTTGCAAAAGGAAACTAGGTACAGATTTAGCTATTGATTTGGCTATCAGTTCAGTATGAATCTAGGGACTGGGTCTCCTCATATTAGAATAGAAATTCTGAGTTGTTTAGCTTCTAGGCTAGAATATTAGTTTAGTGAAATGAAGGTGTTATGGTGACTCACGGGAGGCAATGTTGTCTAATGGGGAAATATTACACTGAATATTTTCATCTACAGAGTAAGGGGCCATCTCACAGCTGGGAAATTGGGATTCAAAGAGCAGGTTCCCAGAATGTCTAGAGCAGCTAAGGGGTGACAGTGACCCAAGCCACCACTTGTAGTGAGTTCATATGACTTCATTCGATATTTCTATGTATATTTGACAATATCTTGACCTCCTGTTCACAGGTGAAGACTCAAAGATGGAATAGAAGCAAAAATCTAGAGTATCTAGGTGATGGGTTTTGGGACAAGTCTCTGCTGAATAGAAAGCCATACCCTATAGCTTCTAGAGCAGGACTTAGAAAGCTTGGGGAACTTAACCTGAGCAAGTTGTGGGCTTAAACCAGTGCTGGGGAGGGGAGATACTCCCAAGATGTTCTCTGCATGCAGAGCACAGTAGAGGGCAGGGTTTTGTCTCACTTCCCCATGAGTTCTGGATCACTGTGAGGGTAAGCGCTGCTGTAATATGTACCAGAGTAATAGGTAGCCTCATTCTCAGGCTGCAGCCCAGAGATGAGCAGAATCCCTGCATTGGCTGAAGCATCTTTGGATACAGAGAAGCGGCTTGGGACCCCGGAGCCTTGGCCCTTGTCTGAGTCTGTGTGATAGTTCAGGAGACCTCGAGGAGGGCTTCCTGGCTTCTGCTGGTACCAGATGATCCTTCAGTCCCCACTTCTGATGCCACTTCTCAGGGTACATGACAGTCTGACAGTTGTCCCAGGAGATGCAGAGAGAGAGGGCAGCTGAGTCAGAACACACTGGGAGAGGGAAGCTGCAAACACAGACATATGTGGATGTGAGACAGAGACCAGTGTCATCTGCTTGAGACTCAGAGTCCGAGACTTGAACACTGACTATGAGCTTACTCTGAGTCTCTGGGAACCATCCCTACCTGTGCTATGATAGAGGAGCACGAGGAACACAGGTATCCAGGCCATCTTCTACACAGACCCTCAGAGACCCAGAGCTGAGGCTGGGCTGACACAGGCATCTCTTATCTCCAGGAGGACCTCAAGGAGGAGGGGCTCTTCATGCAAACTTGTTGCCCATATTGGCTATCTCTGCTTCACCCTGAGGACCAGATGAGGTCTGCCCTTTTTTTTTCCTTTGGCATAGTTAACATTGTAAAAGTTATTTTCGGCACTTTGGTTTATAGTACTGATAATGGTAGGGTGTCAGGCTAAAAATATTCAAACTAACCCTACACCAGAGTGTCAGCTTCCTCGAACATGTCCCACTTGTGCCCCCCTCCAATATTTATACCCCTCATGGACCATGTCTCACTGTATTATAGGTTCACATCATATATTTTTATTTCAACATCTCTAGGTACAGATGATGTTTCCTTTGACACCCCAACAACCATGAAGGAATGACTCAGAAAAGCCCAAGCAAGGAACTAAAGAAATGATTACACAAGTCACAATTGGGGAAATGCACGCAGAACACTGAATGAGGAAATGTATTGGAGTAAAAGAGTGATACTTAGATCATCCTTGACCCTGGTGCTTTGAAACGATACAAACAGAATGAAAGGAATCAAGCAGGGAAGAGGTGAACAAGAATTATGGGTTAACGGACTGCAGGGCTTCGGTTTAACAATGATGTGAGTGAGGGGTAGAGCCATATAACCAAAATATATTTTCAACAGTAATGAAAACATGGTATCTAAGCAGTAATCCCCAAACTTTTGTGTAACGTACTTATCAATTTGACAGACAGTAATAAAGTGGTGTTGGCAATGGCAAGAGAATCTAGGCATACTAGTGGAGGGAATTTGGCACTGGTGCAGTGATTAGTGTTGATATTGTATGTCTAAAATGCAACTATCGCTATCTTTGTAAATCACAACTCTTTGATAAAATATATGCTATCATTCATTTTATATTTGTATGATCTTTTAAGAATGGGAAAATCTATCGCTGTAAGTGGCACAAGGAGTGCAAAAAAGGAAAAAAACAGAGGCCACTGCAACCGAGGCACAAAATAGAGATTAAAGGCAGGATTGCCCACAGACAACACTAAACCTGGCCAATGAGGATACTTGTGTGTTTCATCAATTCACTTCATCAGTACGCTGGGCAGTTGGAACTGAAAATTCATAACTGTCTGGTTGGAAAGTCTTCCACATCCCTCACTCTTCCTCCTTCATAGCTCACCTTCAAACTCAATGGTTGACAGGAAAAATCAACATTAGATTCAGTGAAATGTACAAAACTTTATTTTTTGCCACTGTGAACATTTACAATCAACATCCAGAGCTTACTTTGTCTAATAATGCAAACCAAAAAACAGTCTTCTCTAAATTATCTGAAGTTCCCTTCACTCTTCAGTTTTCCTGTATCATTGCACGTTTTTTATATTTTCATCTTCTTTCCACTAGGACTCTCTTATTAAAATGATGTCTGAAATTCCATTTCTCACTGAAATTCCATTCAATGGCATGCATGAACAAGGTTTTTGAGAGGTGAAGTATGTAATTAAGGATTTGAAAGAGTGAAAGCCCAGGTATTCATAGACCTGAACAACTTCCATACACAAAGGAATCACCTTAAGATATGGACTCCATAGTCAGAGAGAAAAGACAGCAGGTAGGGCACTTGCACACAATCATTCATGGTTTGCATCCTGATACTCCATAAGGTCCCCAAGCACTGTCAGAATGATCCCTGAACACAGAGCCAGGAGTAGGCGCTGGAAATCACCAGGAGTGATCTGAAAACCAAAAAGAAAGAAAAAATCTCAGATTCCTAGACAGTCCTAGGTTTAGTAAACTAGTGATTATCAGAATCTGATGCCCCAACTCCAAAGCTACAGTTTCTTCAGCCTGGGATACCATTCTCACAGTGAATTTTGTTTTGTTTGTTTGGGAGTTTGGGGGGCACCTTTTTTCCATCATATCTGACACTGATCAGTGGTTATTCCTGGATCTAGTCTCAGTAATTACTTCTAGGGATGCTCAGGGAATCATGTGGGATGCCAGGGATCGAACCTGGGTCAGTCATGTGCAAGGCAAGTACCCTTCCCACTGTACTATCACTCTAGCGCCTCAAAAGTGAATTTTAATCCCTAGTGTTATACTTTCCAGAACTGCAAAACTAAGACTGTTACTGGTGCAGTCACTATTGAAGGCCCAGAATGGATCAGAAAAGCCTGCATGGGATTCCTACTGGTGTATGGGACCAAAAGGGCACAAAAAGGGAGAAAGACCAAAGCTTGGCTTCTCCCTCGTGGGCTTCCACATATCTCTCTGTCTCTGTTTCTCTGTCTCTCTCTCCCTCTCTCTCTCTCTCTCCACACACCCCCATGTTCCTGAGTTTCACTCCACACACGGGAGAGCAGAAGCAATGCCCAGTAGATTCTACCTTCAATGTGACATTGATGGTTTTACACCTTGCTTTATGAGTCTTTCTTGGGGAAGAAGCAGAAAGAACTTGGAGAAAATTTCTAAGTGGAATTTGTAAAAAAAAAAAAAAAACAAGTAATTTTTCAAATTCTACACGACCATCTCAGTGGTACCAGGGATGTTGTCCTACTTCCCCATCTGTGTGTGTCACAGTGAGAAGCCTCATCATGTGAAGTATGACAGTAATATATCCTCAGGCTGCAGCCCAGAGATGAGCAGCATCCTTGCATTGGCCGGGGCATCTTTGGACCCACAGAAACGGCTGGGGACCCTGGAGGCCTGGTACTTGTCTGAGTCTGATTTAAAACTCAGGAGATACTGGGGAGATCTTGCTGTCATCTGCTGGTACCAGAATATGTGGTAGCGCCCATCACTGAAGCCACTGACCAGGGTACATGTGAGTCTGGTGGTGCTTCCAAGAGGTGCAGAGACAGTGGGAGCCTGAGTAAGCACAGGCTGAGAGAATGAACCTGGAAGTACAAACACTTATGGTCATGGACAGGGACCAGGGTGATCCCACAAGGTTGGAACCAGAGAGACTGACTGGACCCCTGCCCCAGAATGCTGAGGTCTGTCCCTACCTGAGCAGTGGGAGAGGAGCACAAGAAGGAGAGTTCAGGCCTCTGTGCATGGCGTCCTCTGACCCCTGTAGTGGGGATGCACTGCCCCAGGCCTCTCTTATCCCTCTCACTGGCTCACAGAGACCAGCAATTCATGCAAATGTGCCTCAACTTAATGTCCGACCATATATGGTACTGAGATTCTGTGAACTGGAAATATTCTGCTCTGTAGTCCCCAAAGAGATAGTTTACTGATGCAACATAGACCAGGCACCGTTTCTGAGTCTCAGCTAGTGAGTTGGGACCTAGCTCCATCTGTCTCCACACACCCCTACCAAGTATTGTCATCTTAAAAGACTTTACAATACCTGAAAACACATTATAAGTCCTACATATATCATTCCCTGAATATCCCTGACCATCCCTTCCATTTCTTCAAGGTCTGTGTCTGGTAATTACTTTTGATTTTGGTTTTGTTTGAGAGTGGCCACACCCAGGGACTTTAAGAGGTGACTTTTGGTGTATGCTATGGAATCACTCCTGGCAGGGCTTGAGGGGCCATAGATGGTGACAGGAATCAACCCTGAGTCTTCATGTCAAGGCAAGCCGCCTACCTGCTGAACTCTCACTCAGGCCCGTGTCATTCACCTTTGAGCAATGACTCTCACATTCTGACTGAGACCCCGGAAGTGATGGACTGGGTTAATAGCCAAGATATACAAAGTACCCACAAAGATCAACAACAGAAAACTCCAAAGACCTGATCAATAAATGGGAAGAGGAAAGGAACCGATTCAAAATTTATTGAAGAGACAAGCACTTACTTCATTAAACACTTTTGAAATGCTGTTGAAAATCATTTCACCAAATATACAACTTTATATTTAGATGATCTGCTTATTGAATTCTTCGTAAATCTATGTTTATATCAATGCCTGTTTTATTAAATTATACCTTTGAAATATGTTTGGACAAAGAAAGTAAGAGAACCCCACTTTTACTTACTTTTCAATATTGACTTGTCTATTTTAATTGCCGTCTATTCCATACGTTACTTAGGGTGGATTTTACTGTAGATGGAAAAAATTGTTTGTGGAAATTTTTAAATATTTCATTAAATCTCTCAAATCTTGTATAGTAGGCCTATCAACATTGAGTCTTCCAATTCATGAACACAGGATATCTTTGTATTTACTCAACATTTTCCTCTAAGTCTATAAAATTATCTTGGAGTTTTAAGTAAACATTATTTTACTTCTTTAACGAAATTGTTTCTTATTCATTTTGATACCTTTGGAACGAAAAATTGGTTTATTCATTTTATTTTTCATTTGTTAGAACTGATTAAGGCAAACAAGAAAGCAGGCTAAGAGATTTTTTCCTTCTATCCTCACAATAGAGATGTTACTGATGCCTGCTCAAGCAAATAGATGAACAGCAGGAGGACAGTGCTACAGTGCTATCCTCCTACAACCTTAGCAGAAAAATATTGATTTCTCTGCACAAGGAAAAATGCCTTTGTGGTAGCCGTGGGATACAGACAGGAGATTATGAAATCTCACTGGATTCCAGAACCTATAAATATCATTTTGAGAAGAAATATGCATGCTCCAATGGCAGACTCACCTACATCAGTCCCAATTAAAGTCCCAGAACAAATCAGTTCTCCGGGGAATTTTCAGATTGGTTAGTTCTGAATTTGCTGCTATGGTATCATCAACTAAATGATGCAGGTGAAACCTCATCTTCTTGGGTCCCAGGTAACGTGTTCACACGACCAAGACCCTGAGTGTTGGCAATGAGGTGGCAGTGGCCCAGTATAGAACCAGAGAGATTTCAGCCCAACTTCCCACAGAACCGAAGGACAATGCACTTCATGCCCTAAGGCAGGCCTACCAAACTTGGTCTGACTACAGATCCAGTGCCAGCCCCTCTCTTGTGAAACAAGTGGGACCTGAATGTACAGAGCCCTAAATAGAGACACACACCATTGCGTCCCAATGTAGGCGAAGCAACATTGCTTCTTAGTGAAGCAGCCCTGATATCAGGCTCCAGAAGTGCTCTGTTGTGGTCCCACCCAGAAACATGGTGAGAGGCACACTCGCCCTCAACCCACCCATGGAACACGATGCATCCCAATGACTAGTGTCATCCATTTCATCTACAAACCAAGCCACAAATCTCTTGTGAACTCTCTCACATCTTCAGAGATAGCCCATATATTTTCACATCTGTACACAAGCCTTCCACTCTGTAACCCAATTCAGAGTTTAACTCTGAAAAATCTTACCCTTATCTGAGCAACAAACCCCTTCACCAAGGTACTGGGCACATATTCTTTGCAGTAAGTGTTTTTGTGTTTGCGAATAGAGAATAATTTTTTTGTATTGGGGGTTTGATACAAGCCAGAAATGGGGTAGTTGAATCAAGTGGGAACTTCACTATTACTTTTTTGAGAAATCAACGGGAGGGCCTTTACCTTTACCTTTACCTGTTGTATCTTACCTTAGTTCTTATGTATTTTGAGTGTTAGTCTGTTATCCAAAGCATTATATGTCAATATCTTCCACTCGGTGGGGTGTTCTTTAATTTTTGTCTTTTTTCCTTGGCCCAGTAAAAACATTTGAAATTCATAATTAGACTTGCTTACCTCTTGCCAAAGGAATCAAATCATTGGTCATCATTGCTTTGATGTCTACAACCTGCCTCTATATCACCTACAGTCAGTGAAGTGCTTTCTTTACCCTGTGCCTCCTGTGTGAATTCTCTTAATTACTTTGAGGATTAAGCAACTGTTCTTTCTCCTGTCCTCCAAAAGTGTAGATCATGCAGCACTACAGCATTCGGAGGAGCAATGTGGTCCTGTGCCACTGCTCTAAGCATTGTAGATATGATCTCTCAATGCTTCCTGCAATATCCATTGGTATGGATTCTATAGAAAAAGTGAGATGTCTGATTTTGAGGCTCTTTCCTTGAGTTCTCTGCATAATGGGCTCAATTACATCTTATTATGACATCTTATTATCTCATTCCTACTTTGGACAAATTGGCAGGCTATCGAATGTAGCCTGCCCACACGGCAGAGTCTGGCAAACTCCCCATGGCATACCCAATATGCCAAATACCAGTAACAATGATGGGTTTCATTCCCCTAAAGAGCTTTGAATATAATCTCAGGGCTAGGATGAAAGAGACGTTACAGGGGCCTGCTCGAGGCAATTGACGATTAACAGGATGATTTGTGATTTGTGACAGAGTAGACAAAGAAAGTGTTTGCGGGATTTGGTGGCATTTGGTGCTTAGTCTGTAACAACCCTGCATCCATGTTCACACCCAGTGTACTGTGCCTTTTGTTTCATGAACTACACCCACCAGGTTGATGAGGGGAGTATGATGTATCATGCTACAGATAATATCAATACAACACAGAGAATCTCAAAGTTCACGTCCATGGTGTAGGGTTAATATTTTCACAAGGTCCAGAATTTCAATCCAGATAATCCCAAATGGAAAGGAATGTTTGTCTTAGGTTTTCTGCATTGGAGGGTAAATCAAATCAATGAAGGGAGAGGAGAAGCATTATCAGGGTTGGGTAGTGGGGGGGCGGGGGGACAGAGACAAAGCACGTCTAAAAAAGTTGAGTGTAAACTGACAATGACCTGATATCTGCCGTCATGGGTCATATCATGACTTCATTTCTTCTTTCCACATCCACAAATCAGATGATGTCCTGACCTCCAGTTCACATATGAGGAACCAAAAATGGACTCAATATGGGAGCATGGAACTGAGTCATCAGGGTCTGTGGGGCCAGCCTCATTGCTGACTGGATATGGTTGTGTCCTGAAATCTGATCCAGGACTGAGTAGTCTGGGGGGCTCAGCCTGGCAGCTGTGTGAACCCACACTGTGCTGGGGGAGGGTAGAAACTTGTGTAGAGAGCACAGCTGTGGACAGGTTTTTGTCTCACTTCCCCATGAGTCTGGATCACTGTGAAAGAGTTTGAGTTACCATGGAATGTAGCACAGTAGTAGTCAGCCTCATCCTCAGTTTGCAGCCCAGAGATGAGCAGAATCCCTGCATTGGCTGAGGTATCTTTGGATCCAGAGAAGCGGTTGGAAACCCCAGGACCCTGGCCCTTGTTTGATTCTGAGTAGTAGTACAGGAGATATCGGGGAGGGCTGCTTGCCTTCTGCTGGTACCACCTGATCCTGAAATCACCAACACTGAATCCACTGCTCAAGGTGCAGGTGACTCTGGCAGTTGTTCCAGGAGATGCAGAGAGGGAGGGCAGCTGAGGCAGTACAGGCTGAGAGAGGGAACCTGCAAATACAGACACATAATGGCGCTAGACAGAGACCAAGGTTGAGAACCTTAACACTCAGAGCCAGAGATCTGCAAACTTAATATGAGTTTATCTGGATCTCTGTGGCACATCCCTACCTGTACAGTGACCAAAGAGCACAAGGAGGAAGGGAATCCAGGCCATCCTGCACACAGACCCTCTGAGACCCTGAGCTGAGGCTAGACTGGCACAGGCATCTCATATCTCCATCAGAGCCATCAAGGAGGAGGGGCTGTTTATGCAAATTTATTGCCCATATTTGAGGTCTCTGCCTCACCCTTAGTACAATCTGAGATCTGTATTTGTATTTCTCTTTCTTTCTTTCTTTCTTTCTTTCTTTCTTTCTTTCTTTCTTTCCTTCCCTTTTTGAGTATATTTTAAATTTCTTCAATTATTTTAGGAACTTTGTATTAAAATATTGACAACGGGAGGGTGCCAGGCAAAGGCACATTCCAACACTGCACCTCCAGCAGACTGCGAGCTTCCTTCCATCATGCCCCAGTGTCTCTCCCCAATACCTGTCCTATCACCCCATCTCAACAGTGATTTGCTTCCTGATAAAGAACAGTTCTCAGTTTCTGTTGACTTAGTTTTTTGTTGTTTCCTCAGGAAGTTTTTTGTTGTTTTCTCAGGAAGGTAAAGCTGAAGTAGCTTTTATCGCTGGGTGGACGCTTTGGGGTGTGTAATGACTGCTGGGGCTTCTAGAAGTGCAGGGTGGTGGGGGCAAGCAGCCCATCCCTACTCCAAGAAAAGTCCAGAGAATTTAGTCACAAAACCAGCATACCGAATTTTCAGCAGATTGATATCTCTGTGAGGTCTGTCCCGAGATGGTGCGGTCCAGCTGGGGGCACGGCAGTAGGGTTGGATTATGGGAGCAAGTGGCTGTCAGGGGCTCTGTTTGGGTGGACACTGGGCTAACCTGACCCCTCCAATGGGCCATATATTATTCAGCCATGCATGGGTCTGAGGTTTACTACATTTTTATGACCTCTTTGAGATGGATTTCTTGGTCTCTGGAGCAAGGCCTGTGGAAGAGCTTACATGGTGGCAACAGAGTTTGTTTGTGGAGAGTGAGTGCAAGGCCCTTGGGGAGTATAAGGAATTGGGGGAAGTAAAGTGGGTCGAGAATTCCCGAATTAAACCCTAGTCTCTTAGGAGACCTCTACTGCCACAAAAAAGGCAAATAAAATCTATAAATTTCCTTATGAGGTTTTATTTTGCCTTTCTGAATATTTGTGATGTCTGCAATGAGAATGTATAAAACTTGAGTTTGCAATAGTATTATTATTGCTATTATTATTACTATTATTCAGAAAATAATCCTGGGGAAGTGAAGAAATAGAAATCTTACCTGTGTAAAAATACTATTTCAGTTTCTATTTTAAATTTTTTTCCTAAAGGATCATGTTTACATTTTCCTCTCACTCGGAATTTTTTGGGTGTGCACATAAATTCCATCATGCATCTAATTATTCGTTTGCCACAAGTTTTTTAGATCCTATCCATGAGAAATATACAGAATAGAAAAAAGCATAAAGTTTGAACATGGATTAATGATTTCCTTGGAATGAGTAGGGTGGCGTAGGATGAGAAGAATCACTAATGGGTCTGAATTTTTTTTCCAAAATGATGGAAATTTTGAAAAATTAGATTTTGGTGTTGACTATGTACGTCTGTCAATTCATGAAGCACAATTGAACTGAGCACTGTAAATGCTTTTATGCATGATTAATAATAGGTTGGGCTGGAGCGATAGCACAGTGGTAGGGCGTTCGCCCTACAAGCGGCCAACATGGCCGACCCGAGTTCGATTCCTCCGCCCCTCTCGGAGAGCCCGGCAAGCTACCGAGAGTATTCGATATGCCAGACACAGTAACAACAAAGTCTCCAATGGAGACGTTACTGGGCCCGCTCGAGCAAATCGACGATCAACGGGAGGGCCTTTACCTTTTACCCTTAATAATAGGTTACATCTAGGCATGGCTATTAAACACACCCAGTCTGAGAAGCAGGAGCAATCATTGACCCTGTTCAGTGGGACTATGTACAGAGTCACATTCAGATAGAACAGTCTCCACAGCTCTGTTTCTTGTTTTGACCGGTTGTCATGGGGGGAATCACTTAGATCAGGGCTGAGTTTTTGTCTCATTTTCTCTTGAATCTGAAGCACTATGACACTGTTGATACTGTAGTCCCACGTAGAACAGTAATAATCAGCCTCGTCCTCAGGCTGCACGCCTGAGATGGTCAGAGTCGCCTTGTTTCCAGATTTCGAATCAGTGAACCGAGTTGGGATCTCTGTAGGTCGAGTACTTTCAACCATCACAGTTTTGGGGGTAGCACCAGGAATCTGCTGATACCAGCCTGTACTATAGGCATCGACATTGGTGCTGGTTCCAGTGCAGGAAAGGATGACTGTCTGTCCCACAGACCCTGACACTGAGACTTCCTGCATCAGTCCAGTCTGCGCCCAGGAGCCTGGAATGGAGCAATGGAGACAGTTACTAGCCAAGCCTTTTCTCAAAACAAAGCATTTTCCCACCACCGCAGTACCCAGATCATGGTCTCCCGCATAATAATTTCCCAGGTTCCCATTGTCAATCACCTGTTTACTGAGCTAGCAGGAAGAGGAGGAGGGAGGAGGAGGACACTCCTGTGCAGAGGCCATTGCAGAGACACCCTGGACTCCTATCTGGAGCTAACAAGGATGACAACTACACAGAGCCCCTCTTATCTTCCCCTGATGGGAGAACAGAGAGGAACGCTTTATGCAAATCATCCCCTTTCCCATCTGCCCCTGGTCCTAGGTTTGATGAAAGCTGTGTTGGAGGTGGAGCTGGGGCAGCTTCCAGGGGCTAGGGGTCACAGTTTCTAATCCCCAGGGAGGGCAGAGCCCCAGTTGACAGTTTCAGAGCGGAGTTCCCCCAACAGGCTCAGGAACATGCCCCACAGCGCCACCTGCTGGAATAATATGAAGATCAACCACAGAGACCATCCAATGCCCCAGCACCAGCACAAGTTCAGCTGTCCTCAGACAGATGCAACTGCTCCTAAACTGAATCTAAAGAATAGATTCTAATTTTTTTCTCTGCTTCATTCTTGTTTTTTTTTTAATTTTTAAAATTATTAGTGGACCTATGTGTCTGACTATCCTCGCCAGGGCCCAACAGCTGAAGACTTCCAGGTCCCAACCAAGGCCTTACTGGAGCCACTCTCCACACACTTGGATAAGCCTCAGACATAACCGAACTGGCAGAGGAACCCAGGTGTGTGGGACCCGGGACTGAGATCTCTAAGCCTGCACGGTTTGGGACTGGACCTGTCAGTAGCTAGACAGTTACACCCTCCAACTGCCGTGTAACCCCAACAAAGGCCAGGATCCAAAGATTATCACAACAAGCTCCCGGGAGAGCACAAGGCAGAGTCTCCTACCCTGTGTCTGACTATCCTCGCCAGGACCCAACAGCTGAAAACTTCCAGGCCCCAACCAAGGCCTTACTGGAGCCACTCTCCACACACTTGGATAAGCCTCAGACATAACCGAACTGGCAGAGGAACCCAGATGTGTGGGACCCGGGACTGAGATCTCTAAGCCTGCACGGTTTGGGACTGGACCTGTCAGTAGCTAGACAGTTACACTCTCCAACTGCCGTGTAAACCCAACAAAGGTCAGGATCCAAAGATTATCACAACAAAAAAAAATTATTTAATTTTCTCTAAATTAATATCCAACCCACAAGGCAGAGCCTGGCAAGCTATCCGTGGTCTATGCCAAATAGACCAAATTGATATGCCAAATCCAGTAATAAATGGATCTCATTTCCCTAACCCTGATTATGCAGAGTTGAGAAGGATATGGAAGGAGAAGCTGATAAAACACCAAGGCAGACATAGGCTGCCAAAACGCAGAAAAACAAAAATGATTGTCTGTACTTTTAAGGCTCGTACGCTGGCATCTGCTGCATCCATTGAAGACCTTATGGTACAAGCACGAAAGATCAAGTACGACATCATTGGTCTGACCGAAACGAGAAGACATCAATCCCATCATGCTGTTTTCGACACTGGAGAAGAACTGTTCCTTGGAACATGTGATAAAAGAGGCGTCGGTGGTGTCGGTATCCTTGTCAACACAAACTTAGTCACAAGCATTGATTCATTTGAATGCCTAACAACCCGAATCGGACGATTACACTTGAATAAATGTGGCTCACTACCGGCAGTTTCTATCTTTGTTGTCTATGCACCAACATCCAGTTATGGTGAAAAAGAAACTGAGAAATTCTACATGGAGCTGGAGAAATTCTATAAAGAAGATCACACCTTCTACAAGATCATTGTCGGTGATTTTAATGCCAAGATAGGACCAAGTCGATGAACTCCACATCGGAACCCATGGCCTGGAATGGAACGAACAGGGTGACAGACTGTCTGAGTTCATCATATCAACCAAAACCTTCCATGGTAACTCACAATTCCAAAAGGCTGAATCTAAACGTTGGACATGGGAGTCTCCCGATGGACGGTTCCACAATGAAATAGACCACATCATATTCAATCAGCGGTTTTGCCTAACCGGTGTTGCTGTTGTCCCAAAATTCCAAACGGGATCAGACCACCGTCTTCTTCGTGCAAAATTCTACCTCACAGAACGAGGAGAAAAGAATGCAAGGTTTAAGAAGAGGACTCCCAGAACAACCACCAACTGGGAACTCTTTGGCTCTGTTGCAGCAACATGGGAAGATGCCGTCATTGACAACATTGATGAGGAATACGATCGAATGATTCAACACCTCCATGATTGTGCAAGGAATGCCAAGAGAGAGATAACCACAAAAAACCGTCTTTCTTCGAACACTCTTGAACTTATTCGCCAACGTGGCGTGGCACGTGCCTCAGGCAACCACAAGCAAACGTCCGAACTGGCAAAACAGTGCAGAAAAGCCATCAAGGATGACCTCAAAAACAGGAGAGCAGCAGTACTGGTAGATGCAGCAGAAGCTGGGAAAAACATTCGTAATGCCCGCCTGTCCTTCACCAACTACAAAACCAAGATGACTGCCCTCCGACATCATGATGGATCTATCACATCTTCCAGAAGGGCAATGGAGAAGATTATTCATGACTTCTACTAAGATCTCTTTAATAGCCACATC